ATGAGCCCAGTTTATATATTCAGCAGAGAGCCCAGTTTATGATCGGGATGGTGGAGGCAGAAAGGAAGAAGTGGACGGTGAAGGAAGACAGCTATATTTCTGGCATGGTCCCCAGAGTCTTTACCAGACTGGTGAACATTTGGGTTGCTGGCTAGAGAAACAGGTAATAATTTTAATCACCCACGTTTCAGCCCTTGGGGATGATGTTGATATGAAAATGAGGATTCCATTACCTATTCAAATGTTCATATATACTCAACCTCACTGGCTTGTGGGGAAGCGGTGGAGGCTCTATAGTAACACAGAGCACAGATGGGGCACCTGGGTGTCTCAGTCGGTTAAATGTCCAATTCTTGATTTCGGTTCAAGTCATGATCCCAGGATCATGGGATCGAACCCTGTGCTGGGCTCCGCACTGACAGGGCAGATTCCGCTTGGGATTCTCTCTCTCTCCCTCTCTCTGCCCCTCCCCTGCTCAAGCGCTCTCTCTCCATCTCTCTCTCTCTCTCTCTCTCTCTCTCTCTCTCTCAAAACAAATAAAATTAAAAAAAAATACATAGCACAAATGTGCCAGAGAGTAAATTATGCAGAGCCCTACAGCCTATCCTCGTGATGATCATCACTCGAAACATCTAAACACCTCCGTTTTTGGGTAATGTGGAAGAATGAGAAAAGCATAGGTTTGGGGTCAGACAGACCTCCGTTCAAACCCCGGCTCACCATCCATGTAGCTGTGTGACCTTTGTCCCGTCTCACCAACTCTATCTTGAGATACCTATGGAACCTTCACACTGGTATGGAAATCCTGCTTAAATTGGTGGCCCCAAACATTACCCGCTATATTGGAAGCTATCATGGGGAGCTCTTGAGACTTGTGTTGGTCAGGATAACGCTAGCTGCCGAAACAAACAACCTCCAGTTCTCAGTGACTTACGACCATACAGGTTTATTTTCTCCCTGAGACAATGGGACTGTGAACTGTCCTGGGAGGGGATTCAGGCTTCTTCCATCGTGGAGTCTTCTCTTGCTTCCTCTGCATTCGGCTGGCTGATGACCAAGGAGAGAGAGAGAGAGAGAGAGAAAGAGAATGGGGCAGGTTACAAGTGGCCTTTTGTGGCCATGCCTAGAGGTGGCTCATGTTACTTGCTCCCACATTCCATTGGATGAAACCAGTTTCATGACCACAACCTACCTCGAAGGAGGCTGGGAAATGCAGACGATGTTTGCATCCGGGAAGAGGAGGTGGAACAGGTGACCTGCCTGTGCTACGTACCTACAGCAATCATAGCTAGTGTGGAGCAAAGAATGAAAAGTCATCCAGATGAAGCCAACAGAACTACAATGGCAGTTGTCCGGGGAGTGGCGCCTAACAGAGAAGTCTGGCAATTGGAGTTTGCTTGATACGGATAGGTTTTACATGGGGTCAGACCTCATAGGATCTGAAATCAAGTATGTCTGTTCCTGCCTGGCTGTTTCAAGCTGTCAAACCAGTGAGCACCAGTGAGGGTTAGAAATGAGCTCCATCCCTACCGTCATCACTCTGGGCCTCTGTGCTGAATCAACCTGACCCATCATGCCCTCTGCTTTTCTCCTTTGCATGCTGTCCCCCACCTGCCTACCTTCAGACTTGGTGATTCATTTTCCCTATGTACAGTCACTTTACCTGCTGGGCCAGATATTTGCAGTCACTTTTCTGCCTTTGACCTCTGCTTTTCTTTTCGGCCAGAATCTGGAGTCTTTCTGACTATAATGACATCAATTGCCTTCAATAAATAGGTCGTTGGGTCTAGCCTGGTCCTGGGAGTTAACAATCTCAATCAAGGACCTCTTATGCTATGCACTCCATTGGTTCCCTTGACTAAAAAATAAAGCTAATGTTTATGTTTATTTATTTGGAAGGATTGGAGCTCATGTAGTGAAAAGAATGCCATTTTCTTTCAAAAAGATTTTAAGTCCTATGTAAAGTTAAACAATGCTTTACATGGTTCTGAAATCCTTTTCTTAAATGGTATCTTTGGAAAAGCAGGATTGTTTTATTTTAATCAAGTCCAATTTGGGGCGTCTGGCTGGCTCAGTCGCTTAAGCTTCCAACTTGGCCTTGAGTCATGATCTCATAACTTGTGGGTCTGAGCCCCGCATTGGGCTCTGTGCTGACAGCTCAGATCCTGGAGCTGCTTTGGACTCTGTGTCTCCCTCTCTCTGTGCCTCCTCCCCACCCCTGCTCTCTCTCTCTCTCTCTCTCTCTCTCTCCCTCTCAAAAATAAATAAACAATAAAAAAATTAAAAAAAATCAAGTCCAATTTATCAGGGTTTTTTTTTTTTTTTTTTGTAGCTAGTGTGTTTTGTATCCTGAGAAACTTCTGCCTGCTCAATGTTGCAAAGGTTTTCACTCATGTTGTCTTCCAGGAGCTTGAGTTTTAGCTTTTTTTTAAAAAAGATTTTATTTTTAAGTAATCTCTACAGCCAATGTGGGGCTTGAACTTATGACCCCAAGATCAAGAGTCACATGCTCCTCCAACTGAACCAACCAGGTGCCCCAGGTCTGTGATGCAGTTGAGTTCATGTTTACGCATGGAATGACGTACGAGTCAAGATTCACTGTTTTCTACATGGATCTTCAGTTGTTCTGGTACCATTTGTTGCAAACACTTTTCTTCCCCCACTGAAATACATTGGTATCTTTGTCAAAAATTATTTGGATGTGTATGTGTGGGTCTAATTTTGGACTACTCTGTTTCATTGATCTGTGCGTCTCTTCTGCCAGTGACACACTGTTTTTATTTCTACAGCTTTGCAGTAGGTCTTGAAATCAGGTAGCAGGCACGTCCTCTTACTTTTATTTTCCTCCCTTAAGAGCCTCACTCCAGGTCTTTGCATTTCCAGATACATTTTATTATAAAAAAAAATTTTAAGTTGTATTTATTTATTTTGCGAGAGACAGAGCACCAGCAGGGGAGGGACAGACAGAGAGGGAGAGAGAGAGATTCCCAAGCAGGCTCCACACTGTCAGCAGGTTTGGGCTCGAAACCACAAACCGTGAGCTCATGACCTGAGCCGACTGAGCTACCCAAGTGCCCCACCATGTACATTTTAAAACCGGCTTGTCAATTTCTAGAAGGAAAAAAAAACTTGCTGGGATGTTTAATTGGATAGCACTGAATCTATAGATTGTCAGAATGAATATCTGAACAATCCTGAGTCTTCCAACCCATGAATAGGGGACATCTATTTATTGAGCAATGTTTTCTAGTTTTCAGGGTACACAGGATTTGTATATCTTTCATTAAATGTATCCCTAAGTAATTTTTAAAAAATTTTTAATGTTTATTTTTGAGAGAGAGAAAGAGAGAAAGTCAGTGAGTGTGAGCAGGGGAGGGGCAGAGAGAGAGGGAAAGAGCGAATCCGAAGCAGACTCCAGGCTCCAAGTCCGTCAGCACAGAGCCTGACGCGGGGCTCGAACCCATGGACCGTGAGATCATGACCTGAGCCAAAGTTGGAGGCTTAACCGACTGAGCCACCCGGGCGCCCCATCCCTAAGTATTTTTTTTGTGTGTTTTTCCTTGTTTGTTTGTTTAAGTAATTTCTATGCCCAACATGGGGCTAGAACTCATGACCCTGAGATCAAGAGTCCCATGCTCTACTGACTGCGCCAGCCAGGTGCCCTCATAAGTGGTATTTAAAAAAAATTTTTTTTAACGTTTATTTTCTTGAGACAGAGAGACAGAACATGAACGGGGGAGGGTCAGAGAGACAGGGAGACACAGAATCTGAAACAGGCTCCGGGCTCTGAGCCGTCAGCACAGAGCCCGACGCGGGGCTCGAACACACAGACCGCGAGATCATGACCTGAGCCGAAGTCGGACGCTTAACCGACTGAGCCACCCAGGCGCCCCTCATAAATGGCATTTTTAAATGTTTGATTTTCAATGGGTTGTTGCTCTGATTTATTATTGCACCGTTTCACTAGACTGGTCCCTAAGTCCCGCCCCTATACCAGCTCCTACCTCCGTTCTGCATCTGGTCTGGTTTCATTTGCAACATTGCAATGTCTGATTGGAACGCGGGATGAGTGCTTTGGAGGAGCTGAGGTTTGCATCCCGGACGACTGTGCTTGGAGGTTCTCTGGCTCATCTTTTGACAGGCTTCATTCACAGGGCACCATATCCCAGGTACTATGCTAATTATTAATGAGAGGACTTGGAGTTTCTGTCTCAAGGAGCCCTGAAAGCAGAGGGGACAAATTGCAAGTGAAAAGGTGTGCAAAACACAGGGTTTCCGGGAGAACCCAGAACAGGAGGGTTCCCAAACTCAGCTTCTGAGGGGACTGTCAGAAAAAAACTACATGGCGGAGGCAGGGTCAGCCTCAGACACATTGTAGAGGCCCATCCCAAGCCTGGTGGGTGGCTGGCTGGCCAGCTTAATAAACCAAACATGAATTCTCCCAAGTATGCATGTAAAAACTCCAACAGCTGGCCCACATGTGAGAGGCCTTTCTGTAACTCTGAGCAAGACCCCACAGATGGTCAGGATACACATAGTTCTGGTCTAGCAGAAGGCAGCTGTGAGTTCTCCAGGTACCCCCTAGGAGAGCAAAAACAAAAGCCCTGAGATGATGGTGTCTAACCTCGGACTAAGAGGTCCTCTTGGCACTGACTTTGGGGATATATTAAAAAGAAGTGGAGTGCTCGCTTCGGCAGCACATATACTAAAAAGAAGTGGATTGCAGGAGGCCTGTTTACTTCCCTGCTTCTTGCCACGTGTTCTTGCAAGATGCTAAGGGGTGGAAAAAGTTGATCTAAGCTGTCTAGCCAAGGCTCCTCTTCTACTAACCACACAGTGTCCCGTCTTCCAAGGAAATCAGGCTGTTGTTTTGCCGGTACTCAGTCCTGCATAGGGGTTCTATGACACAAATTTCTGAGACCCAAAATGTGCCTGTTTCATTGCTTTGCATGAGTTTACCCAGAATGCATGGCTGTAATAACCATCTTTTTTTTTTCCCCCTATTCTCCAGCATCCCTTTCTCCTTCCTTTGTTCACAGTACTCCAATTTCCTCCCATCACCAAGGAAACGCCCCGCCCATGATCACATCCCCATTCCTGCCGGCTTCAGGGGTGGGCTCATGACTGAAGCCAGCTGGTCACCGAAGCTAGGAGCGTGGTTGAGATGGTCTAAGGAGAGGGCACAATTTAAGAGAAGAGCCTACTATTGAGCCACAAGGGACCCCATCGTTTAATGGTTGTGTAGAAGAGACACAGTGTGCAAAGAACACAGAGAAGGAGCAGTCACAGAGGTAGGATTAAGACCGGGAGAGTCACACGGTGTCCTGGAAGCCAATGGGAGAAGGTGCTTCAAGGAGAAAGTGCCCAATAGTGTCAAATGCGACCAGAGTCGAAGGAGGTGAGGATTGAGCAAAGCCCATGTGTTTTCGACACGGATGTATGGGCAACCTTGGGGTCATTTCTATGGAGGAGTGATGGCATAGGATGGGAAGTTAGGAAGTCAGAGGACAACCTGACAATTCTGTAGCTGTGGAAGACGGGAGATAGGCGGTAGGCTGGTGTAGGGGTGGCTTTCATGTAGACCTTTTGTTCTTTTTAAACGTGAGATGGAAAGTACTTAGGGATGCTTAAAAGCACAGCAAAAGCATCTAGTTGAGAGGGAGTAGTTGAACAGTCTGGGAAGAGACATCATAATTGAAGTGTAAGGTTCCTGTGAGCAGAGAATCCCCAAGAGGGAATATCGTTTATAGCATTTCCCAAACTTACTTGATGGACCAACTCCCTTCACGCAGAGTTTATTTTGATTAGCGTTCTGCAGAAAGTGCTGTGGCCCAACTTAGGTTAATGGTCCATTCCCAAACCCATTAGTATGGCCAAGGCCATACTTTGTCTTCAGGCAATCAGGATCCTCTCCTCTGGAGCTGGGGGTGGCCTCAATTCTCCCCAAACTAAAGGTCTGAGCATGAGAAAGGCTGGAGTCGTAGAAAAGAGAGGATGCCCCAGAAGTGACCTCTGAACCAGCTGAACGATGGGGAAGATGACATTACCAGGTGGTGCTCCTTCCTTCTGATACTTTGGTAACAAGACCCCTAAATCCCACTGAAACTGTAGTATATGGAATTAGAATGTTCAAGGAATATGATTGAAACCCCTTGCCTATAGAATTCAGTATAGAGAGAGGTTAAAAGCTGGCTAATCCTAGTGTTCTCTTGTATCTCCAAAGACACAGTAAAACATCTAAAACCACTGTTAGTAATCCAAGAAGATCCCCAATTCAGAAAGCAGGCCTGTTAAATCAAAGGGGATTTAGGAGCCAAGCAAGCCCCAGTCCCCTGAGATGGTGTGCCTTTATTAACCCACTATTTCCAGCTGTGGGTACTTAACGAAAAGGAGAAGCCACGTTGGGCAAGCTTCTGGGTAATTCCTGCTCTACTGTGTCCTGTATTGGCTGATAAGCATCGCAAAAGATTCGACGTGCTGTGGAAGGCTGTTTCTCTGAGGTCCTCAAGATGGCTTTTTCTTTCCTCGGCTGACAGTACAATTTGGCTCGGGGGTTTCCTCCCACCCTGCCTCCACTCAGCAAACACTTATGGGCCCCTACTATGTGTAAATTGCCTTGCTACGTGTTATGTGTCGTAGCATCACCTTTTGGCACTGACAAAACACTTTATTACACGTGATCTCAATTTAGTGATGCTCGGGACAGACGCTGAGTCATAAAGAGTCACGATAGACTCGTCCATGCGTTGTCCGTGTGACCTTAGGCAAGACATTTCTTTAAAAAAAGTGTTTTTTTTTTTAATTTTTATTTATTCTTGGGAGAGAGAGAGAGCACAAGCAGGGGGGTGCAGAGAGAGAGAGACAGAATCTGAAGCGGCTCCAGGCTCTGAGCTGTCAGCACAGAGCCCGACGCAGGGGCTCAAACTCAGGAACTGTGAGAGCATGACCTGAGTCAAAGCTGGGTACTTAACTGACTGAGCCACCCAGGCGCCCCTATGCAAGCCATCTCTAAGGCTCAGCTTCATTTTTCATAAAATGGTCAAAATAGAAGTTCCTAGCTCAAAGGATTGTTAGGAGGAATTAGGGAGGTAATGCATGGGAAGAGTGTAGCATGTAGTAAGCACTCATTTAAAAGTAGCCGTACTTTGGGACACCTGGGTGGCTCAGTCAGTTAAGCAGCCGACTTCGGCTCAGGTCACGATCTTGCGGTTTGTGGGTTCGGGCCCCGTGTCTGGCTCTGTGCTGACAGCTCGGAGCCTGGAGCCTGCTTCATATTCTGTGTCTCCTTCTCTCTCTGCCCCTCCCCGGCTTGTGCTCTGTGTCTCAAAAAGTAAAGAAACATTAAAAACAGAATTAAAAAAAAAAGTAGCCATACTCTATTGGTCGATCTTGGTCCACTCGTTCACACAAGAATCACTCCTATGATGTGGATACTACTATCTCACTTCATAGACCTCCATTGAACACCTGTTACGTTCTAGATACTGAACACCCAGAGCAACCAAAAGAGTATGTAGATACAGACAAGGAGGCGTCAAAGGGAACTTAGAGGAAGCCAGAGCACCGAGAGAGGTGCATCAAGGAGAGTGACCGATGCAGCAAACACCATGAGGTCAGCTGTAAGATGAGACCCCGAAGCGACCACTGGCTTCTACGACATGGTTTCCAGGCCGACGGGTGGAGGCAGAAGCTAACCCCAGACTGATCTGAGAAATTGGAGTTGATGTGGGAACAGCCATTGCAGAGAACTCACAAGGTGTTGGGGTGAAAGGGAGCAAACAAATGGGGAGGTGGCTATAAGGAGATGTGGGATCAAGATTTGTGTTGTTGAAACTTCTTAGGATACGAGATATTAGGGCATGTTATTTTGTGCAGGTGGGAATGATCCAGTATGGAGGGAGAAACTGGGGATTAAGGAAAGAGGAATCCAGGGTAGGAGTGGAGATGTCAGCTTCGATGGGTGCACAAACCCTTCATTCAAAAGCCAGAAGGCAGAGAACATGGCTAAGATGCAGAGTTGTTGGTAGACCAGAAGGTTCTGATTCATACTGTTATGTCTGTGAAGTATGAGGCAAGCCCGTCGCTTAGAGTGAAGGATGAAAAGGGGACCGAGGGTCAAGGCTGATAGATCATCCTCGCAGAGTAGCAAGGGGGACAGAATATGGCAGAGAGGTAGCAATCCTGCTAGCCAGGATTGAGGGCTCATTTGAAATTTGTGGACATCAATCCGGAGTGACACCAGTCACTTTCAATTTGCCAGCAACGTTCCGACGTTCCGAGGCAGGCAGAGTGTTGGGGAATAGCCAGGCTTAACAAGGTTGGTGCCAGTTAGAAGAAAAGAGAGGGGCAAGGGCTTACTGGTTTTTGCAAGGAAGTGAGTGTAGCGTTCATTACTAAGCTGGGCGAGGAGGGAGGTGAGCGTGAATGGGAAGATAAATGCAAAGACCTGGCAGGGTCGAAGGTTTGCAGGGCTTGATGAGGTTGAAATAATGCTTGCATGTGATACTATAGTAATGAGGTTAAAGTCGGATATGAGATATTTGCAATTGTGTGTTCTGCGACTGTGCAATTATGGGCGGGAGCAGGTTCAAGGTAAGACTGTGGGAGCGGGTACTTAAGGCAGAGGGAAGGAAAAACTCATTGGTAAGGAAGAAATCCTTGAGGAGTCAGTAAGATTTCTGATGGATTATGCTTATGGATGCTGAAGTCATAAAGGTACAAGAGGGGAGGAGGTTAGTTCCTGAGGGCAAAAAAAGGAGAGGTGGCCGTTGGAAAATATGACAGCATGAACTTCAAGGGGGGTTGGGTTTTTGAAAGAGGAGGGGGGAGAAAGAGTACTAAAAATATTTATGGTGTTTGTTGCTGCTAACCCGCAGCCCCTGGCAGGCTGCCATGCCTAATGCCCATGGCCCCATGGTCATGGCAATGGTTGACGGGTCAGGGGTAGGATCCAACGTGTGGGGACTCAATCTGGGATCAGCCGGAGATCTATCCAACAAGCTGCCGTCTTTAAGACATGAGATGGGGCCATTGGATTCTGTCGGGATTTGAACTATGAAACAGAAAGATACTTTGCCAGGTGATAGAGCAAGCTGACGCAGCGAATGAAGGAGGAACAAAGACCACCAGGATAGACCCCAAGCAGGCTGAAATGTTGCGGGAATAGTGGTATAAGCAAGCTGAGGGTGCAGGACCGTAAAGAATGTAGCAGATGTATCCAAAGAAGCGAAAACAGAGCTGCATGAGAGAGACCGAGGGGGCTGTCCCCCGAGCCTCTTGTCTGATGTGACCTTTTTTTTTTTTTTAAATTTTTCCCCTAACGTTTATTTATTAGAGACAGAGAGACACAGAGCATGAGCAGGGGAGGGGCCGCGAGACGGAGAGACACAGAATCCGAAACAGGCTCCAGGCTTTGAGCCGTCAGCACAGAGACCGACATGGGCCCGAATTCATGAACCGTGAGATCATGACCTGAGCCGGAGTCGGGCGCTTAACCAACGGAGCCACCCAGGCGCCCCTGTGTTTATTTATTTTTGAGACAGAGAGAGAGCATGCAGGGGAGGGGCAGAGAGAGGGGAACAGAGGATCCAAAGCAGGCTCCGTGCTGACAGCACACAGCCCGATGCAGGGTGCGAACTCAGAAACCGCGAGATCGTGACCCGAGCAGAAGTCGGATGCTCAACCGACTGAGCCACCTAGGTGCCCCAGATGTGACTTAACTTTGTGAGCAGCGAAGCAACAGGATCAGACTTAGGGTTACGGATGTGGGCTCCGGTCCCAGACTGCCTGGCTTTGAACTCATTAGCTATGTGATCTGGAGCAAGTTTCTTAACCTCTGTGTGCCTTAGCTCCCTCATCTGTGAAATGGGAATAATAGGCACTGACCTCACAGGGTTGTATGAGGATTAAATGAGAAAATACAGGTAATGCATTTGGAACAGCAAGGTTCCCTGTCAGTCTTATTTTTTTCAAGTAAACAGTTCAAGTGTTATTCTATCATAAACCTTTCCCTCATACTCTTATCCCCTGCCTTTAAGAAGGGACACCACCTGGAGTGCCTGGGTGGCTCAGTCGGTTCAGCGACTGACTTCAGCTCAGCTGATGAGCTCGTGGCTCGTGAGTTCGAGCCCCGCGTCCAGCTCTGTGCTGACAGTTCAGAGCCTAGAGCCTGCTTTGGATTGTGTGTCTCCCCCTCTCTCTCTGCCCCTCCTCCACTCACACCCTGTCTTTCTCTGTCTCTCTCAAGAATAAAAATTAAAAAAAGGACATCACCTTCTCTTCGTCCTCTTGCTACCCTCCCAGGTCACTCCTTCTCAGTCTCCTTGCTGGTTCCTCTTTATCTTCTTGACCTCTTCTCCTCTACATTCACCTCTTAAGTGAACTCACCTGGATGTCTTGGGCCCTTCAGTACCTAAAAATATCATTTCTTAGCTAATAGTTCTCATACCAACTCTAACTTCTTCCCCAACTCCAGACTTCCACATCCAATCACTTGACATTTGCATTCAGAGCTCCAACAGGCATCTCAGACATAACTTGCCCCAAACTGACTCTTACCCTCCCCCCACAAAAAAGAAAAAAATAACCACCAAAAATCAAAACAAACGCCTGCTCCTCCTCTCATCTTCCACAGATCAATAAATGGCTAACCCTTCCAGTGTTGATCAAGCTAAAAATCTTAGCATCATTCCTGACTCCTTTCTTCTTCCTGTGCCCACCGCCAGGCCATCAGCAAATATCCAGAAAGGGGTCTTCCCTTGCTGCGTCCACTGTGTCCCCAGGGTAGTAGGCACCTTCGTCTCTCTGCTGTGTGACTTTCAGTTTACCTCTTCGGGCCTCTGTTTTGAGGATGAAGTGAATTATTATTTGTAAAGTGCCTAACGGTGTTCATCACGTAGGAAACCCCATTTAAGTGCTTTTTAAATAAATAAAACATGCTTTAAATAGCTTTCTACCGGCCCTAGCCCCCTACAGTCCATTCAGAACACAGCAACCTCCTGATCTTGCTCAAGCCTAGGCCTGATCGTGTCACTCACTGCTTGGTGTCCCTCCGACCTCAGCTTCAGGGCTCTCCCCCTAGTTAAACTGGGCCGCCCAGTCCATGGGCCTCCTTGGTCCATGAACACACCAGAGACTGTCCCCTTTGGGTCTGTGCCCTATCTGGTTCTTGTGCCTCCCTGTGATCAAATGTTACTTTCTAAATTAGCCCTCCCCTTGCCCCACTTGGCTAATCTGCCTGCCTATTCCCTCGCCCTGAGTGTTCGCCACCTCTAATCACTACCTGACACGATGTTTACTTACCAGGTGATTGTCTTTCCTCCAAGGGTCCACCTCTATCACGTCACGGACTGGGACTGTCAAATTCATTACTCTATCCTTAGAGCCTAGAACAGTGCTCAGTATACAGTAGGTGCTCAATAAATGCTTACCAACTGAAAAAATTCTTAAGTCCCACTCTCTTTGAATTCCCGTAACACAGGCCTTAATCACTTACTTGTATTGATTTTGATACCAGTGGCAGCTTTTATTTGACTCTGAGCTCCCTGAGGATGGGGGCCTAGGACATGGACTGACCTGTGGTAACAATTCCCGCCATTTGTGCAACACTAACCAGTTACAATCCTGTCGCAGCTGACCTGATTTGATTCTCACAAAATAGAGTGAGCAAGCCAGGGAGGGCAGGTATTATCAGCACGGCCAGAATCCTAGTTCTGCTTTCTAGACCAAGCTCAACAGATAGTTGTTGAATGGAGCGAGTGAGAGAGAAAATAAGGAAAAGGAAAAAAAAAACTTTCTGAGTCACTCTGTGGAGTGAGGCAACCCCACTGGGCCACTGGGCTGGTTCTCTGTAGCACATTTAAAAACACTCGTAAACGCCTAACATTTCCTGAGTCCAGTTTTCTAATCTCTACCTGCGGGGTCCTCACAGCTACCTGCGGCAGGTAGCTCTGAGGGCATCTTCACGTCGAGTGCAACTCTCTTTCGGTGCCCCCAACAGGGCCTGGTATACAGTGGGCGCCCAATGAATGGCGTGGCCTGGGGCTCCTTTTTTTTTTTTTTTTTTTTTTTTTTTAAGAGATTCGGCTCAGGTGCAGCGACTTGATCCAGGTCCCCACGTAGCAAGTGGCGGCGCTGCGATCACACCTCGGGATCACTCGGACGCTCTCCCCGGGACCGACCGGCCCGCCGCAAC